ATTTCAATAAATTTTAGATCAATATCTAATAGTAAGCTGTTTGAGAAGACGTATTGAACTTTGTTTTCGACATTTTATCATTAACGCGAACTTATTTGGTGTAATCATGAAAGTGTGTTGTACAGATAGACAGATGTTTCTTGTTCCTGCGGTGAAGCCTTAACAGCTAAGAAATGGATGAAACCCGTTTTTCAATTCAACGTAGGACCAGGTACTCAACTGAAAGCCTGCTACCCAATCGCAATGTGCTCTATGTCACAGGATTTCTTTACCACGTACTTTGTGCTTTTAAAAATTTTATCTTTATTTAGTACAATACTCTCGAGAGAGGTTCTACAAACACTCTTATAGAAGAATAAAAGAAGCAAAAAAGTTATACTCATCTCAGGTTAAATTTTGGGCATCCGAACAGCGTATTTTAGGTCTGTTGCGATGATATGTTATTAGTTAAATCTTTTTGGCCATTGGTGTATTGCGGCTTTTGTATAACGGATTTGTGGACACCAACAAAGAATATGAGCAATAGGTTTAAATTGCTCATCTGAAACTCATATGAGGTCCAGCAATAGAAAAGAACGGACAGACGGACGAATGGATAGAACGGGTTAAGAAGAAATTACGTACATCATAAGGTCTTTAGAGAACTCTACGACCTACCACATGGTTGAGTAAGAAAGAGTTACGCTGAGTAAGTAAGAGTTGCGTTGAGTAAATAAGAGTTCGCGGATTCGAATCAATTTTTCTATATTTGGGCACTTAATCAGTAATTGATCCAACAACCCACTAGGCTTTGGTCACATTACCTTGCTCTTTCTTCTCCATTAAGTCTTTCTGACCATCAAGTTGTTACATGTATAGGAGGGGCATTGGTCTTCATGGAAAAGAAATATATTATGAAACTATTATACATCTTCACACCTTGGTTGATAATATAAAAATTTTTTTTAAACAAAAAACTCTGCACATGGATAAGGTTATGCTTAAAAAAAAAGAAGTTTTCTGTACATTTCGAAATCTTTAAGAGGAATTAGAAGAACGAAATAAATAGAAATTTTTGCTAACACTACTCCAAAGTTCTTCATGCAAGATATAAAATTTTTGCAATTATTTTTTTTTTTTTTTTTTAAATTTCAATCTTGTTTGCATTGCATAAGTTGTTTTTTATATTTTGTTTTTTTTTTTTTTTTTTTTTTTTAAACTTAAGGTCATATACTTTCCAAGGATGCAAATGGTTTCATTGTATGATTACTACATAAAAAGCTGTAAATAATCAAACATGACCATCAGGTTTAATACTTTTTTTTTTTATTAAAAAACGTGTACGAGGAGTAAGGCAAAGTCAAAGGTTATTATTTCTTGATTTTATTTTGCTCTGGAATTAACTTAATGGGATGGATGTCTGTCATATAGTGAGGACATATTTCAAATTTAAGTTTTAACTAAAAATAGATCACATAATTACTAAATTACGATAGCCTAATGATATGTTATAATATTATTCTTCTATTTCTCTTAGTGTTTGTTTTCTTTTTTTTTTTTTCATTTTATAAACATTTCAATCAATGTTCCCACCATGAAGGCTTTTAATTTTCTTTTTATAGAAAAACAAAAAGCGATAACCTTGATGCTATCAATACTAATTTTCTATAGAAAAGTGACAACAAAAGAAATAACAATACTTTTGTTGTAATATTAGAAATTTTCTATAAAAACAAATTAAAAAATAAAAAAAAACAAATACAACAAATAATTATTTAGTATTAGTAATCAACGTTTAGTTAGATATAACGATCAAGCTTATAAGCTGAAATATAATAATTCTAACAATTATATGAATATTTGTTTTTATATCTTTTCCATATTTTTTTTCATTTATCATGTATCTCTATTAAAAACGGAAAAGCGTATAAAATTTCTTATTAAAAACAACAACAGCAACAGCAACAAACATTTCATGTTCTCATCGAAACTATAACAACATTACGCTTCGCTCTTAATGAAACTCTTCTGAAAGCAAATTCCATTTATATTCCCTCTCTATGCGATAGGCAATGCAAAGAATTTAATCTAGTTACCTTAAGCTAGGCTAAGTTTATTGAATGCTTTTATGTTCTAAGCAAATAATAATAACTGTTAAGCAAATAGTGGTTATTTTTGCTAACGAAGCATATTGGAAGGTAAATAATTTGAAGCATACAAAGAGGCTGTCATTAAAAACGAAAAAGTGTCATAATCAGGATTTTCTGGTATCGAGTTTTTACAGCGCCTTTGCAAAAGATGATGCAAATATTTTAGTAGTAAATTGACGCATTATAAGCCAAGCGTAGGAGGAAAAACTGTTAAAAGCGAAAACGTTATAGTAAGCCGCAACTCACCATTAAATACCCTACGATGCTTTGCGTAATACATTTACGTTGGTTTATCAAAGTTCGCCAAAGTTCTAATGTTCGAACGCAATAGTACATGAATAGGCATCATACTCAAAAAATCATTCTGAATCGATCGGTACAATAAGAGATGATTTGATCTGAAATTCTTCTGAGTTTTCTATACATCTGCACAAACTTAATACACATTTGTACCGCAAGTGCGGTAGGGTGTAAAAGCATGACGGATATACGTCGTCTTTTAACAAATCATGGCTGGCGTATAATTAACAGTTGATGACAAATAGCTATTGAGTCTTAAAGGCCTAACTATAATGGCCCTATACTCTGCACAATTCATATTAAAGATGATGGAATGTGAATTAAGGATTAAGATAAAATGTTTGACGAATTATTACCTTCATAAATTCAAGGTAAGTATTTTATGGAAATAAAAAAGGAATGCCCCACTATTCGGCTTTCATAGGCCAATACGTTGATCTCTCTTCTCGCCCACTCGTCCTGAAGTCGCCTGAATACTGGGCAACACACTACCTTCGTTGTTTCGTAACGGTAGTATCCGTCTTTCCCAATATTCCGGCGGTTTCAACTTCCAAGTCGAACGTACACAAGTGCTGCTACTTCTTCTGCGTCTTACATCCTCCCTTACAAATAATTTTTCCTAATCACCGCTGTGCTTTACGAATAGGAAATAGCCTGAGAGAAAATCGCAAGACAAAAAAGAGTCTTATCATAATATTTTGTTTTGTTTAGTGTTTAGTGTAAGTTGCAAAGTAAAGTTGACGTAATAGAGAGAGAAGTTTTTTACATTTTTAATAGGGATGTCTTTTGTAAGTACAACATTGGTCACATAGTGATGACAAAGAAAGGGAGTAACGGCCGCAACTTAGAAACCCTATCCATGATCCACAAGCGTTACAACTTTACCTACCAAGCACCTACCAAGCACTATATAGCGCTGACGACGCACCAATCGTAATTAAAGTCTAGTCTACCGCACCACGAATTGAACCCGAGTAAACCGACTTGACAGTGGCGGTTTTTAACTAATCGGCTGCACGTAAGTAGCCGGTTGCCAGTCTTTAAAGCGTAAAAAGTAGTTAGCTATAAACGAAAACATTCGCACTTGGAGACCACCGCTTGACACCAAAATATCTATCATTGGTGAACAGAATCAGAGGAACTAGATCCCAGCTAGCCCTTGCATTAATTTACTTTATATAAATGATAGAAAATTGTATTGTCTCCTTAAGTTTATAAACCAAACTGGGTGAAGAAAATTGATTTCTTACAAATCCATGGCCGACTTTTTTTTCCCAAAATATGTTTTTAAATGCTTTCAAAACAAAAAACTTCTCAACTATACCGTCCCTAATACTACGACTATCAAATTTTCTCGAAATTATTTCATTTAAATTGCTTTGTGCCTGAACTGTACGCCACTCTTACCTCCTATTAGACTTAAATTGATAAATTATAACCAAAGACGAAACATTATCACATAAACTGGCTAATGCTTGCAGCTGCGAAGCCTTAAAATCACTGCGGAATAATACGCCGGAGATCTCTTGCACTTATGTTTTAAGATAATAAAAAGCATAAAAGGACAAGAGCAGAATGTGGTCATCGCAGATAGAGGCATCAGAGAAATCGCTTTTTACAAATGTTTTTACAAATATGAAAAGCTTTTTTATACTCTCTACACAAGAGACGTATGGACTTCGCGGACGTACAGAAAATCCGCAAGCATTTGCGATAAAACAAACTTTTTATTATACCGCTCGATGCAGAATCACTCTCTAAATAGATCGAAACTATTTTGTCCATCTGTCCGTTGATGTCTTTCTATTCATCTAAACATGTGCTTAACCAGCAGACTTTTGATGAAATTTGATATGCCGGCGAACTTTAGCGCATTGACAAACCTTTTTAAAAATGGTTCCGATTGAACCACTTTTTCGAACACTGCCCATATAACATCTGATTTTGAAGAGCCGTCACATAAATAACTGCAGAGTATTTGATAGTGTGCCGTGGTCTACTATAATGGTTTCACTTGATTTTCCATTAAATTTAAAATGCTTAATAAATTTTACTATAACAGGCGTCTTATATGCGGTGAGAAAAAATTTCACCCCTACGTCTGCTTGATATGGAATAAACGGAAAATAAGAACAAAACGTAATGTGTAAGACTATGATATCCTTACTAAACGTAAAGTTATGGTTTAAAAACAACAACAATAAAAATCAAAAAAACAACACTAAAGGCGAACACAATCTCAACCACCATTATATTGGGGCAAAACATGCTGAAAAATGAAAGCAATAACAGTGCAATCGTTGCGCTCTAGCTTTTATTGTTGTTGCCTCAGTTTACGATAATGTTTTGGCTATCAAAAAATACTGCAGTGTATGAAATCATTGTTTTTATGGCTTTAGAAAGAAATCCAAAAAAAAAAAAAAAACCGTAACAACAACAGCAACAGAAAAATTGACCCATTGGCCTGTTTTTCTTGGTTATGTTGCTCTGAACTATGTCGTGTCTACAAGAGTTTGACAAAAAGTTGTTATATTTCAAATCAATTTCATATAATATACGATCAACACTCACCTTGTCAACCGGCATTGATGGGCACGCTCTGCACAAATTCCAAAATGAGCCGATCATAAGGATATCTTTTAACTCTAATCAGAATCGAGAAAATTGAAAACAATAACAAACAACACTTGAAAATCAATTTTTTTTCCTTTTAAAATATATTTTCAGGCGTTCAATTAATTTATTTATTTATTTATATTATTTTATTTTTTTTTCTTTTATATTTTTAATATATATATACAAGTTTTTTAAAAGTCATTTAACAAATACACTTAAACACTTTAAAAATATATTTATATATATATTTATATATGTACGTATATATATGTATATATATGTATATGTATATATATATATATATATATATATATATATATATATATATATATATGTATATACGGGTATTACTGGTATCTTTAAATATATTACTGATAAATATTTTTATTATTTATAAATTAACTTTAATTATATAATTAAATACGAAATTTTAGCAATTTTTTTTTAACGCAGGCTGAAGTAGAAATATTGATTTTAATTTGCTTCTTTTTTTTTTTAAAGTACAAAATTATTTCGTTGTGGATTAGTAAAAAACGTAGAGTGAGTAGGAGTAAAAAACGGAGAAAGAGAGAGAGCGAGAGAGAGAGAGAGAGAGAGAGAGAGAGAGTAAGATTTTAAGTGGGAAATTCCAACATATAAACTTAACACACTAAAAAAAAAGAAGAAAACAAAAAGGAAAATGTATAAATAATTAATATTTCGTAGCACAAAACAAATAAAAAAAAATAAGAAGAAAAAACCATTAACCATTTATGTATATGTATAGTATAATTTTAGTTGTTTAAAAGTAAACCTCAAAATCGTAGCGTACTTTGCTCGTTGGTCATTAAACGAGCAATGCTTTCACATTAATTCGTAATAAACAAATAAATGAAATCTCAAGCATACTTTTAGTTATTCAAAAAGTCAATTCCAAACCGACACATACTTTGCTCCCCTGCTCATTAAAAGCAAACCTTACCAATAATTCGTAACTTTATATATGCGGAAGCAAAAAAATGGAAAACCGAAGTTGTTTACTGGTGCCAACTAAGCACGAAGTTACAAGACATATTCTCTAGTGGTGATCTCACACTCAAGGAGCATTAGTGAAGAAAAAAAAAAGCAACTCAAAAATAACTGCAGAAAAAAAAACTTTTTTCTAACATATTCTTTTTCTGCCACCTATATACGTATATATATATATATATGGGTAGGTACATATATATACATATGTAGAGAGAGAGATATATATGTGCATGTGATATATAATTTTTTTAAATATATAAAAATGTTATATATATATATATATATATATATATATTATATGTATATGTTATATGTATTACATATATATTTAAAAAAATATTTTCTTTATCACAATCGATTTAGTCTTAAAATCCTACCACCCCTTTAAATATGCTTTATAATTTTTGAGGTTTCCTTTTTCTCAACTTAAAAAAAAGAAATGTCTGTTTAGTTGGTCATCTTGTCTTAAATTTACAAATTGCACATACACGCACACATACCAACAAACACACGCACATGCTTATAGTCATGCACAGACACCTTCACACTTTCACATACACGCACACGCACACACACACGCACACAGACACGAACGCATAAACTCACACAATTTTATTAAATACATATACATATGCCAACTATATATACAAACACTCATCCACACACCGTTAATTCATAAATACCGTTATTTGCTTTTTTTTTTCTTTGATTTTTCACCGCTTATACACGTGTTTTCGTTTCGCTGGACAAAAAAAAATATTTTTTTTTAATTTCTTTTATTTTTTCTTGTTCTTAAAAGCAAAAAAAAAATTTTATTTTTTTTCTTCTGTTCTTTTTAACTGACTTGGAAAACTTTTACTGAAAATTTTCCAACACATATAAATTCACAAATACATATGCATTTATATATGTGTGTACATAACTCTTCATATATATTTATATATATATATATGTATGTATATATATATATATATATGTATATATATAGACGCGCTCGCTCGCTTAAAGAGGGTACTGGATACTTGTTTTGTTGTGGTATCTTGTGTGTTATTAACAATTTCAAACAACTTAACTCAACGACTTCACGAACACGACTGACTAGCTGACTACTATCCAACTAATTTCTATGGAAAAGAATTTGTAGTTAATCGTGTAATATATGTCGAATATCTGCATCTCACAGATACACACAAGGTTTGACAAGTTTGTTGGTACTACAATTACAATTTGACATTCTCTGGGCGCTAGTAACTCTTTCCAATCCATAAGAGAATAAAAACCTCTCTCAATGGGACCATTTAACAGGCATCTTTGTAAAGAACTCTGTTATTCGTCCCATTTAACAGACGTCTTTGTAAAAACTCTGTTACTTCGTGCCATTTAACAGACATCTTTGTAAAAACTCTGCTAATTTATCCCATTTGACAGCTGAGAGATTTTTTATTCACCATTTCCCTTATTTATTTATTTTACTTATTAAAAGCAACTCTGTGCTCTGTCCATTGTACTAGCAACCAAATGAATTGTTTACATAGTGAGAATAAATAAATAAATTGATAAAAACCGTGGTGCAGGTAAATTGTTGCGTATAAATTGATAAAAACCGTGGTGCAACTAAATTGTTGTCTTTAAAAAAGGATTGGAAAGAGCGAATTATTACATACATGCCATCAGCTTTTCTACGGCGATGAACTTTGCGTGTTTTCATTTTTTTATGTTGAAAAAAATAAACAAAATTCGAAACACACCAAACCGCTTCACACGTGTGTGACAATGTGTGCGACAGCTGAAAAGTTACTTCTATTGTGAATGATTGATAATTATGAATACACTGTAATTTACTGTTTTATTTTCTTTGTGTTCTGGTATTTTGACTGTATTTTCATTTGTTTATGCATTGCCGTTGTGTTAGCGGGTTACGAATGTCCAAGGATCTAATAAAAATCTGTGTCCAACTTGGGGGCCAGACTTTTTGAAATCTATTGATAGCTACACAAACATGTTATGGCCCAACGACGAGCGCTATTGAAAATGGTTAAGAACGCAACACTTTTGCGAACACTTCTCACATGGCGCCTTAAAAAGACGTAGGATATCCGTGACCCACTATAGTCTTTTTACTTTTTAACTTTATAAAATGATGAAGAAAGAAAATTTGACGCCAAGTTTTCTCTTCTAAGCAAATACAGACTGACGAATAGACAGATGGGCAGACAGGTCTAAATTTATTTCGCGTGTCTTTCTAATCTCCCCTTTACAAATTTTATAGCGCTTTTGATTCACATCCGCTCCAAATAGGTAAAACATTTTCAACTAACTAATAACACTCATATAAATATGCTTGTGCATATGAATCCAAGTACAAAAAAGTTCTTATTTGAATTTTCTATATTTCAAAGGTATAATAAATTGTAAAATTTTGTTTACAAAAATTTGCTTTTTTTGCAATCATCTTCAACAGGAAATTGGAAAAATCCAACCTTTGCCAGATGGTGAAAGAGAAAAAAACCAAATGCATTAGCTATGTGTGTTTTCTATAGATAAACAGTTCTTTCTAACAGCGTAAAGAGGGCGGTGTTTAATTTTATTATAACGTTGCCAGATGGAAATACAAAATGAAATAAAAAATATATTAAACACATGATGCATGGAGAGAAAAGTTTTTTTATGTTAAATATTCAAAATAATTAAATTTGTAGACATATATTACTCTAAATAGTATATAACGTAGATAGTCATCATGGCTGATGGCAATGAATTTAAAAATAGGAAAAAAAATGTTAACATAAGAAAATTTTATGTATTGTCACTTTCTGACAATAAATGCTTATGTAAAAGCATACAACGTCACTGCTATTATTTAAAAATATTTCGGGAAATCCCGCTCATATACGCATATAATATACACAATCTAACGGAACTGCGAAAAATATAATGCAAATTTACAATGCAAATTTCGAAGGAATGAAAATTAAAAAATTTATAGATTATTAAAAATCGGATTAAAAAAAAACAAATCGTGCAAAAACAGAGTTAGGTGCATATATATGTTTATTTATTTTCTGAATTTGTCGCTATTTCTGTGAGAGTGTTGGATATTAGATATTAGATGAATACAATTGATTGATATGTACACCCAACTGTATATTTTTATGTATAAACATTATTAAATATTATTATATTATTTTTTTAAATAAAAAATTATTATGCGATAAGGTGTTGCGTTTCTTTACTATAAACAAAAAAAATAAATAAATAAATAAAGAACAGATATAAACTTCAAAAGCATATTTTAATCATGTAATTCAAAAGAGATTTTCATGTCCATTATCAAATTTGTATTATAAATTGCAATTTAAAAGTACCGGCTTATACTGAAATTTGCACCCAATCACAGTTCATGCAAGGTGTGGTAATTAGGCCGTTGTTGAAACCATTCCAATCATAATTCATGCAAGGTATGGTAATTGGCCCGTTGTACAACCTATTCTGATCATAATTCATGCAAGTATGATAATTAACCCGTTGTTGAGCCTATTCGTGTGGAAATTAACTCGTAGGACCTATTCATGTGGGAATTAACTCGTTGTAAAACCTATTCCAATCATAATTCATGCAAACATTGCTGAGTTTTTTTTCATCATTTTTCGTATTTATTGAACGCAACTCTGTGTTCTCTCCATTCTCCACAGATTGGTTTTTTTTTTTGAATGGTATAAAAGCAAAAACCTGCTAACGTCTTTCTATGTAAACAGAAGATATTTGGCAAGAGGTAAAAAAAGTGATTTCAATTGCAAAATAAGCAAAAAAAAACGAATTACTATTAATAAAAAACCACAAAAAATTATAAAATTATAGAAAAATTTATTAAAGTACCTTAGAGAGAAAAAGATTGTTTATCAGAATAGAAAGAATATAATAAGTTAACCATGATAGTCTTTATGAATACAGATATTAGTGAAGTTGCTTTGAAGTTACTTAAATCATTTATGTCTTTACCTGCCTTAGTAATGGGAACTACTCTGATACATCGCAAATCTAAGCCTATCCAGTTAATAAACCAGCAGTTATTAATTATCTTGAGGACACTTAAGTTTCCTCCAGACTTCTCCAGCTCTTATCATGTCAAGGAGCCTGCACCAAAAAGGAAGAAGAACAAGCAACCTGCACCAAAAAGAAAGAAGAACAAGCAACCTGCACCAAAAAGGAAGAAGAACAAGCAACCAGCACCAAAAAGGAAGAAGAATAGGCAAACTGCACGAAAAACGAAGAAGAACAAGCAATTGATATCGTGGCACCCAAAACCATTCCAAATCGGAAGGCTTTTGAACTACCTTTTTTCTGAACACTGTTAAAACATTGGTTTTAGCTCCTCTTTGGTAGATAAATCAACTTCATCCCCACTAATCTTCCATCTCTTATTGCACTCAGTGGCATTCATATAAAAATCTTCAAAATCATCTTTATCTGTAGTATTTAGATCAGTCTTTGTCTGCGTAGCGACTCTGGTTTTGGTTCCAATTAAGAAGGATTGAAAGAGCGAGTCTGAATTTGATGACAACCTGTGCAAGAAGCCGAAGAAACAGACGAAGCGATTAGTGAACCGGAGACATGTCAACACAATCCTTGTGTTGCAGATTGTATTTGGACAATTAAATGTGCTTTTAAGTTTTCTTTTCGAAGTGCTTTCAAGGTTCTTATATGTTATGGCTAACGGAACGCATTCGTAAAATGAAGCTAATAGTTTTTGCCTACAAACCGACATTTTTTAAAATTTAATACAAAAAAAAAACAAATAATAATATGACCATAAAATATGCTTACGAACAATCTGAGTGCAATAGCAATATGTCTCCTTGTCTACTTGGCAAAATATGAAATAAATGAAATTGTTAACAATAAAAATGCACTCACCGTCTATTACCTTATTATCTTATATTATTTTAATTTACACTTTATATATATATGTAATTTACCCTTATTTTAAGTTACACTTTCTTACACTTTTTATTTAAACTTTTATTTGTTAAAATTGTTTATATATATTCAACTTACACTTATTTAAGAAAAAACTAAGTGATTTCTTAAAAACTGAGAACATTACTCCAGCTCGTTCTTACGCCTGTCAAAGACGCAAGTCTCCGAATATGGGCGTTAATGAACCATCTCTTCTAGTGACTAAATTTAAAAGAAGCTGGTAAAATGAGAGGTTCAAATGTGAAACATTTACAGATAGTCATCACGTTTTTTAACTGTCATAAAAACGAGATTGATTTTGTTTTCTTTGAAAAATGTGTGAACAAAGAACAACAATAAGCTATCGCTAAGGCAACATTCTATTAATAAGACGCATAAAAACCGGACATATCAAGTACACGATGGTTTCAGCCTACAAATATTTGATTGAATAAATTCGGCATAATCTCTTGCATTATTCGTATTTGACTTTGTCTCTTAACCGCTGTTGCTGGTCTTCTTTGTAACAATACATTGCTTAAATGATTCTATTGACGTCCGTAGACTTCTGCAGCAGTAGACGGGAGCCATTACGTGAGAGAGTAACGCGTTGTCATTGTTGAATAATATAATAAAAATAATGGAAATTTGGCGGTCACAACTCGGATTATTGATTCAATATTCGTGAATTGTGCGGAAAGTTATTGAAAAATTTAGGAACACGAAGTCAAGTGGTTTAGATTTATTTTTATCGAGTTATTTAAAGTCAAATATCTATGTCAAGTATCCGTGTATTGAAGAAATGGATTCAACGCCGCATCAACGAAATTCAGCCACATTTATGCCAAATTGCCATGGAATTTATTAAACGTACGTACGTTCTTCTCGTAATTTATTAAAGATTTGTTCAGGTTTTTATTTGAGGTAGATTTCAACAAATTATTTTGTACTTTAAGAATTTAGAAATGTATGAAATTTTTTCTTAATCTTAACCAAAACAAGCTTTGTTTTTATTTCACTAGCATCCTTGCTCCAGAGGTTTAAATAAATCGGAATCGGACTGAAAATAGAAATCGTTTCCAAGCAAAACAATTGACGGCTCCCATCGGAGTGGATTACCAAGCTCATGCTTTTTGATTTTTCTATCTCTCTCTCTCATTCTTTAGGATCATTTTAAGGATAAAAGTAAATATCAATAAATCAAAAAGCATAGTAGAGAAAGAAATTCAATAAATCTCTAATGTCGACATTCTCCAAAGATTATGTAATAACATTATAGAAATTTGATATTTTCGTCTTCTACCTTCCACTGACATAAAATACTATGTCGCGATATGAGTCACAGGACTATGTCAACTATGTGTCGGCATTTCACACTTAATATCGAGTTTTCTAAAGACGAGAAGAGTTAGTCAACAAAACAGCTTTGTTATTACACTTTTAACTGATCTCGATAAACAATGATAAATGTGAAAGATATTAAGTTCGTCGTATTTTCGTGATGCTCCTCCGCAGAGAAAGAGCACACAAAGCTAAATCGATAAATTCTAACCTGTCATTGAGAACAAACAACTTTAATTGAATTTTTGACATTAGTCTACTTCTACTCTGTCTCAATCAATATGAAGCTTTGTTTAACAATATTAAAGAATATTTCCCTCAAATCGAATTATATTGAGCGAGGATTATTTATGAACAAAAAGAAAAAGTTAACGGCAATCGTAAATTCTCTTGTTTATCACATTCTTCAACGCACAATTATTCCTGTGCTTAAAAGCAACTCTGTTTAGTGAGCGAAGAGTTACAAAAAGATCATATATATAGCTTTTTCTTTCCGTCACATGCTTATAAAGTAAACACATTATATTATAAACTCCTTTGCGCCTGTGTGCAATGTAATTTTTTAATTGAATACCACTTAAACGATTGCAGTCAACCTTATAGTCGATGATTGGCAAAGCCTAGATTTTATAATCAGAATAAAAGCCTTGACAATTACTTGTTTTTTATTAGTTTCCTTAACTTTTTGCCTCCGTAAGTTTGATGAAAGAAAATTTGGTACTTTTGAAAAAACGCTTTATTGATTGCATTAATAAATCTTTTTGTTTTGCTTTTTTTACGATTATTTATTTTATTTACAACAAAATACTCTGGCAACGATGTTTAAAAAAAAAAACAATGTTCAATATAGCTAAAGCTATGGCAGCCCTGTTATTGAATGAGAAACTCTTCTTTTGTCTCTCATTAATTTTGTGTTACTCTCAGACATTGCTTTGTGGGCTTGCTGGCATTGTTATTGTAAAATTTGACTTTACTCGTATTCAAAAGGGAAGAGAACAAATTATAGAGAGAGAGAGAGAGAGAGAGAGAGAAAGAAACACCATCATTTGACAAATGCTTTAAATCTAAACATTTTTCAGATTTTTCCGCTTAGTTCATTCATTTCAACTCTTAATGTAGTCCAGGTTTTCCTTAGCGGTTCTTCTGAATATCGATTGAAAAACTCTTTTCTTATATATATAAAGCAAAGCTGTGTATGTGCGCTTGTGTCTAATTTCTTTTTTCCCAACACAATAATGTACAATTTAATAACTGTAAAAACAAAAAATGAAAATGAAAATAAAAATTGAAGTGTGTTCTTTCAATTCAAAGCAAAACGTGCATGCACGCTAAAAATTGATCAGCTTATGAATGCTATATATTGTTAAACGTAATAAAGCGAACTTGAGTAAATATCAGCAAAAAAAAAAAAAGGGAAAAAAACGACCTTGAAAATGTGTTAAATCCACTAAAAGTAAATTGAAAGGCCCCTTAGCAAGCCGTAAAGAATTTCCACAAAAACAAAGCGCATAATAATAGAAAAAGCTTAAAATTTGAAGGGAAAAAAGGCGGCTTCATTAAATGTGATTTTGTTTTTTGCTTCTTCATTTTTATTTTTTTTTGCTTTCTTATTTATGTATATTCAATGTGTCGTAGTTGTCATCCAAATAGTTTGCTGTTTTACTAAAACAAACAAGAGCAGCAACGTACAGGTATTTTTTTTGTTTAGTTGTTAATTTACCTTGTCTGGTAACAAGAGCCTAGGAACAAAAGAAGAAAAAAAAATTATAAAAAAAAAATTCGAAAAAAACTGCTTAATACCATAAGTAATGTACGTTTGCTTTACAGGCCAATATCAAACGGTGAAGGGAAATCTCGTTAAGCATCTTAAGGGCGCCTTTTACACTTCAAGAATTTTTTTTTTGCCTCCCCGGTTGCTGGCACTGCCAAAGACAATTGAAACTTTTCATTTGCATGTGTTTATATATGTGTGCGTGTACAATCGTGTGCGATCATAAAAGCGGAAAATTATTACCACCAGAATTTATCGACAATTTAATATAGATTAATGCGGTAAGTAATCAAAAGCAGACTTAATTGCAAATAATACCACATTTTGTGGTTTTAAAATCTATAATTATTCACGCAAGATAATAATCTCTATAATCATGGTCTTTCTATGATACCACCACATATATGTAATGTATTTAAAGATTTTAAATAATATTTTCATTTAACAAATTTAAGAGATCACCATCATAATTTGAGTTGTATTATTCAGTTTTATGGCCAAACAAAGCAGTGAAAACGTACGTGTCATTATGTACAGCTTTAATAAATCAGTCAGTTAGGGTCAGCGCTTATGCGCTTTCCAAACAAATTGTACGCTTTTACTAGCACTATCTTGCAATAATAAATAGCAAAACTTTTCAATTCTCTTGATGTTAACAAAACATTAGCTAATGAGTATGGGTTTTATGTTTCTAGAAAGCAGTAAGTTTAGTTAGTTTATTTTATATTCAATATCAAAGATTGAATATTTTTTTTTCTATTTTTAGTGGTATACACAGGATGGGCAAATGATCATGAAAAGCACTTTAGTTCGCTTTGGTCATGTCTTCTTATTTACTTTTGAAAACTTCTTACTTCAAACTCATTAGTTACTGATAGTAGAAAGTGGAATCAATCGTCCGTTTATATCGCACGATTACCTTCAAATCCTACAGAGAACAAAAAGCGTTGCCTTACGTAAAGTATATTCGGGTTTTGTTAGTGTTTGTTTAATTTTATCCAGCGCATGTGCTTCACTTTTCATTATTCTCTTTAAAAATGGATCCTTTCCTTTTCGCTTCAACTTCTTATCAATTTTTACTATGCCTAGGTATCTAACATCTTACATCTTACCCAAAATTATTTTTTCATTAACGCTAAGAGTTTTCTAGATATATCTAAATATAAGCAGCAAAGATACAAACCAGAAAACAGTGGACTCTGCTAAGCCTTTAACAAAGTGCCTGTTAAATGAAGTCGCGGAAAGGTTCATATCAGAATATAGTTAAAATAGAATATTTCCAGTATTTTTTCGAAAACTACGGTAAACAAAACATGTCTTTATGACAATTACTTAAAATTTCTTATTAGAAAATTGGTTACACTAAGTCAACTATAACTGTGAAAGAGGGAAAATTTACATAGCTACCTATTACGGCCCACAAAGTTATGCGACAAAGTAAAATTAATATCCCGTGAATTCTTGGTTAATAGCCTTTCCAACGATTAAATTTTTGCACTATCAATTTTTGCGTTGCCAACTATCTTAGTTTCGGGCAGCCAGTTTTATGCATATTATTCAAGATTGTGTTTTAGTCAACGTTTACTTCTGCGCTAATATCGGTGGATGAAATGTGTTTTTTAAAGAATTGCATCGACTTTGTCGTTCGATTAAGGCGCGAATACTTGCAGGGTGGGAACGAGCGAACTTTGTGCGATTATGATAAAGCGTACTGACTAAAAACGGTGAACCAAAGAACATTGTAAAGTATACAGAGCGTTTTGAGAATTTTGGGATGTCCTCAAAATACAGTTACAGAATGAACGTTAGAATGATTTTTTTTACGTGGTGGTGTGTTCAAGGTGACTTCAAAGTGGTCCACATTAGCTGCTCCAGCGCTTTAGGAGTTAGCAGGAAGGCTTTACAAAATATAGGGCGCTTTATTGAAAATGGTCCGATTCTAATAATTTTCAATAAGGTTTGTCTTTGGACCAAGACATGTAATTGTATTAGGTGTGATCAAAATAACTCAAAAATTGCCAACTATAGGTTGGACAAAAGAAATCAAAACGGACAGACGGACAGACAAGATTAGATAGATTGAGTAAATCCTTTTGAAGCGATCGATATAATGGAAGTTGAGTGTAACTCAAGTCCTTCTGGGTGTTGCTTACATCCACACAAACTTGATATACCCTTGCACCACATGGTGGAGGGGATCGAAAAAAAAGTCTTTCCGTCAATTGTTTTATAAGGTGCAGTGATTGCTTTTTGGTACAGAAGCAGTTGCCGCATTATATTGAAGCAGATCGCAATATGCGGGACTTATGTGCAATGTGATCCGTCCAAATGTGGGGACATGATGACTATTTGACTTTAGATTTAATGTTAACAGTTTTCTTAGCTTACGTTCAACGCTTTTTCAACTACGAAACAGATGTCACCAAAAATGCAATTATTACCGCAAATGCGTTTCCTTTTTTTCACATGACTAGACTTGTTTGAAACTTAAAAAACGATGTTGTTGGGCACACTTTAGTACGATGACTAATTGGACATTATATACCCTAAAGATACTAATTTGGCGTGGGACACAAAATCACAATATTATCCAATTGGATGCAGTTACGGTGTGCTGTGCAAAACGACAAAAATCTAAGATATGATTAAACTGTGTCTATGTCATCTAACCGTATAAAATTATTTCATGGCAATTTTTGTGGAACGTGAACTATTAGCAATTTTTTTTATGGCTAATTAGGTTAAAAACATTTTTAACATGTTATCTAAATTCGATGTGCTTATGTATGTATGCAGGGATGGCCAAATTGTTTATTTAATTTTATTTTAATATTCATTCATTAATTCAATTCAATTTTACTTTCTTCCATTGTCAAAATAATTAATTTTAAATGTTTAGTTGGATTTTAAGAAACCGGTGTAGTTCCAAATCGGGAAACGGTCACAGTGGAATAAGTGCGCGCGTCAGAGACCTCAGAAGCAATAAACAATTTTTAATCAGCCTAAGATTCCAATTTAATTTTCACATAATCGCTAGTTCGTTTGTCTAAGAGAAGAAGAAGCAATCTGAAGCTTTGGCTTTCATGGAGCATACGTAGAAGGCAGAAAACCTTAAATTAGAATCAATCCAAGGGTGCGAAGTTATATTTAAACATTGCGAGTTATAACTCGCAATGTCACAATCCAAAATATGACCTCAGAGCCTTCACAAGTCCCTGGAAATTCAATTTCACTAACCGGCATCCGACTCAGAACGAGTACAAGTCTCTCATTTTTATATACTTTAGACCACTCGCGGCAACAAAAATATATTTAGAATCAATTTTTGATTTAATCCAAACATGTCTGTCCGTTCGTCTGATCTCTAAGCATGTATTTTTGTGCTTAATCTATAGGTCACAGTTTTTTAGATATTTTGATGACATTTGTAACGTTGATGTACTTTGACCCAAGGATGAGCGCTATTGAAAGTGATTCGGTATGGTCCACTCTTTTGAGCATTCCCCATGTGATGCTTTACTTTGAAAAGTGCTTGTATGGGAAAATATTGCAATATTCAAAATTTCTTGACAAAAGTCAGTGAGTAACAGTATTTTGGCATACGAAGTTGATGTGAAAAATTTGGTTCAGCTGGGGTAATTTTTTTAACCCTTTACGGACACTTAATGCTTGTATAGTGAAAAGGTTCAATTTTCAATATCTCATGGTGAAAATTAGCCCATTATAGGAAATTAACAAGGAAATCAACCTTGGCGAATTTGGACCATGTAGGTCTATTTTATACATGCCACCGCGTATAAGGACTCCCGTGTAATATAAACCTTTAAAAAAAATGATAAAAAATTTTTCATGATAGTAATTTAACATAAAAATTAAGTCGACCAAATTTGATGCACAGGCATCTATTTCTAGGACCTCACTCCCTCCAAGATTTCTCATGAATATAGTCTTTCAGCTCTCCAGAAAAAGCTTTAATTTTTAATAATTTATAATGAAATTTGGTCCTTAGCAATAATTAAGCAAAAACACCTAGGAAACCAGGGAAATTGAATCTCTCAGGTCTATTACTTAGATCCAACACATGTAGGAGCTATCATGAAAAGCAAATCGAATTTCTATTTTTTTATGATGAAAATTAAAAAATAATGACATTTTTGAAAAGTAAAAGAAGTTTGCAAAATTTGGGTCGCGTCATCTAATATGTCAGTGATCTTCCAATAAGTGGGCTTTTGCAAAAATGTCTTTGCAATGAAAATGTATAGTCGTTGGCATATCATTACAAAAACAAGGTAACATCTGTACTAAGCGTAGTGGTGTAGGGTATCTAATGATGGCCTTGCTCGAATATAATATCCTTCTCCTTTTTTTGTAAAAAAAACATATTTCTTCCTCATGAAAGAAGAAGAAGAAGGGAAAGCAGGGTAGAGGGAGGAACTTTGCATTTTTTTTAGAAGAAAGTCTCTAAGGTTCCGTTATTTAGTTCTTTTTTGAAAGGGTTTTTTTTGTTGGAAACTTTGGCTACTGCTGAGTAAAAGCCTCTTGGGAAAAAGCCTGCTTTTATGTAACAATATTGGCATCTCGGCCAAAATAATTTTTTAATTTCTATGACGTTAGCAGTCTTTCGTTCTTTTTTCGTTATAAATTTGTTGTCTCACCGGATATGCAGCATAATCTAAATATGTAAAAATTAACGGTTGTGAAAATTGTGTTGGCAAATATAATTCGATTTAATTAATCAGATAAATACTTACGCATAGACATGTTTATGTACGTACCGACAGACATGCATGTAATAAAAATAAATTGTTGACTATATTAACATGTACTCAGTGCATGTTGTATGTACATTAAAGCAAAAAAAACTTGAAGCATATAAAAAACAACTGTTGCCAATTTGTCTAGCCAATCGCGAATAATAGGCTAACAGACTTTAGAAAAAAGAGAAAAAAACAAAAAAACTATTGAGAGTCAACTGCAAAAAAAAAGGTATTAATTTCAATTAGCTTTTATTATATTGCGGTTGTACTGCGCTATATAAAGTTAAATTGAAGCTTCGATTATTCGACTTGGGATACATTTGACAGTTGGTTTTTGTTAATTATAACATACAACAAAAGACAGAAAGAGACACGAGTAATAGTGGAAAAGGGTAGAACAAACCACCCAGAACCATAGGATGAAAGAAATAGAAATAGAAATCGATCTGGCGTCATTTTTTATCATGAAATCGTATCGAGATTGTGTTCAACAACTTGTAAAGATTAGAAAATTTGTTCAATAT